GGTAGATATTTTTAACAATCTGTATACTGATGTTCTGAAACACCTCTGGAGCCCTCTAGTTTTCAATTCCCCATCCCTGGGAAAAAGAATATATCCATTCATCCTATCTATGCCCCTCATGATTTTGTACACTTCAATAAGGTCACCCCTCATTCTCCTACATTCCACAGAATAAAGTCCTATCCTGGCCAACCTCTCCCTATAACTCAGGCCGACGAGTCTGAGCAACATCCTCTTAAGTCTTCCTTGCACACTTTCTGGTTTAATTAAGTCTTTCCTATAACACGGTGACCAAAACCGTACACAATACTCCAAGTACGGCCTCACCAACAACAAATACAACAGTAATATAACGTCCCAATTCCTGTACTCGATGCCTCAGCCAATGAAGGCCAGCATGCTAAGAGGTCATCTTCAACACCCTGTCCATCTGTGACACCACTTACAATGAACTATATACTTGTACTGCTCGGTACCTCTGTTCCACAACACTTCTCAGGACCTTACCATTTACTGTGTAAGCCCTACCTTGGTTTGACTTTCCAATGTGCAACACCTCACATTTATCTGTACTGCATTGCATTTGCCAATCCTCAGCCCACTTCCCCATCTGATCAAGATCCCTCTGTAATTTTTGATAACCTTCCTCGCTTTCAACGATACCTTCTAATTTTGTATCATCCGCAAACTTACCAATCAAGCCTCATACATTCATAGCCAGATCATTTAAGTAAATAACAAATTAGCAAAGGTCCCAGCACTGACCCCTGTGGCACACCACTAGTCACAGACCTCCAGTCTGAGAAACAGTTATTGGGATTTAAAAGTTGACTGTGGAAGCAGTCTTTCTCTCTTGCTGCTACAGCTAAAAAGCTTGTGTTCTCTCTGTCTCGCATGTGATTGTGGCAGAAAATCTATTTTTCTGACTTTGCCTTTGCCAAGGGTCAGTTTATGGGATGTTACTATATTGAAACAGTTTGCAGTTTAGTAGTTCAGTAGAAATCTTGAGCTAGCCAACTGGATACAAAATTGGCTGAACAGCAGGAAACAGTGATGGTGGAGGGTTGTTTTTCAGACTGGAGGCCTGTGACCAGGAGTTCCACAAAAATCGGTACGAGGTCCGCTTTTGTCATTTACATAGATGACAAACAATGAAAATATAGAAAGCATGGGTAGTAAGCTTGCGGATTGATACTATAGTGAACAGTGAAAAAGGTTATCTGAGATTACAAAGAGATCTTGATCAACTGGGTCAGTGGGCTAATGAACAGCAAATGGCGTTTAATTTGGATAAATGGGAGGTATTGCATATTGGTAAAACAAACGAAGGCAAGACTTGTACAACTAAATTTACGGTCTTAGGTTGTAGAAAAGAGAGGCCTAGAAGTTTAGGTACAGAATTTTTTGAAGTTTGCATCACATATAGAGAAGGTGGTTAAGGTGTTTAGCATGCTTGCCTTCATTGCTCAGTTCTTTGAGTATAGGAGTGGAGATGTCATGTTGACATCATACAGGATCTTGGTGAGGCCTCTTCTAGAGTACTGTGTTGAGTTCTGGTTGCTCCGTTCCAGGAAAGATATTATTAAGCTGAAGAGGGTTCAGAAGAGATTTACCAGAATGTTGCCGGGAGTGGAGTGTTTGAGTTACGAGGAGCAGATGGACAAGCTGGGACTTCTTTCACTGGAGCGTAGGAGATTGACAGGTGACCTTATGGAGGTTTATAAAATCATGAGGGGCGTAAATAAGGTGAATGGCAGGTGTCTTTTCCCCAGGGTGAGGGATTTCAAGATAGGGGACATTTTTTAAGGTGAGAGGAGAAAGATTTAAAAAAAAGGACAAGAGGGCAACTTTTCTAAACAAAAGCTCAGAGTGGTTAATGTGTGGAATGAACTTCCAGAGGAAATTGTGGATGCGGATACAGTTAAAACATTAAAAAGACATTTGGATAAGTGCACGAATAATAAATGTTTGGAAGGGTATGGACCACTTGCAAGCAAGTGGAATAATTTAGTTTGGGATTATGTTTGGCATGAACTAGTTGGACCGAAGGGTCTGTTTCCATGCTGTATGACTCGGTGAAGTTTTCCATTGGGTTAATTATTTCAATTTCTTCTTTTGTTTGTATTTTGACTGGAGATAAGAATAAAGCGTGTTTTGCTTAAAGTGAAGTAGTGTGACCAATCGAATGACATCTGGAATGCAGCACCTTACATGTGCCTTTGAATAAAAAGTTAGGGTCTAGATTATCTCCTTGATTATATTTGCAGGGGTTTGGTCTGGTCCATAAGTGGCAAATAACATTCATGTCACACATACCAGGCAATGACCATTTCCAACAGGAGGGAATCTAATCATTGTCTCCTGACATTCAGTGGACCTTATCACTGTTAACTTCCCATTATCAACATCCTGTCCTGGATCAGCCATTTTCATACTTTTGCTGTAAGACTGAACCAGAGGTTAGGAACTTCGGTGAGTAACTCAACTTCTGTTTCTGTATTACCTGTTCACCGTAAAGAAGTTGAAAGTCAGGTGTGTGGTGGAATACTCTACACTCTCCTAGATGGGCACAGTCTAACAACATTAAGAAGCTTGACATCCAGGACAAAGCTGCCCACTTGATTGATACCGCATCCATCGTCTTCAATATTCACTCCTATCAATACTGATGCACTGTGATGGCAGTGTGTACCATCTGCTAGATTCACTGCAGTAACTCATCAAGGCTCCTTTTATAACAGTTTCCCAGCCCACAATCTCAACCATCTAGAATGGCAAGAGCAGCAGATGCATGGGAACACAACCACTTGCAAATTCCCCTCAAAGGCACTCATCATCCAGAATTGAAACTCAAAATCAAAGCAAAATGCTACAGATGTTGCAGATCTGAAATAAATACAAAAAAGTGTGCTAGAGAGGAGCAAGTAGGTGAGGGTGGGGTGGGGAGGGTGCCCAGAACAAACAAAATGGAGCAGAATGCTAATAGCAGTAGGGAAATGATGCACATTCAGAATAGACGTAAATACTAGAAAATAGGTCAGCTCTGTTGAAAGCCCATCCTTACAAACAAGATGTGAGGGTGGAGCAGGTGAGGGGATGTAATAAAACTGGAGGTCCATATTCCTGGTCTAAAATTGCTGAATTCCGTGTTGAGACTGGAAGGCTGAGATGTGTCTAAACAAAAAGGGAGTTGTTGTTCTTGTGTTGGCTTCACTGGAGCACAACAGCAGACCTTGAACGGAGATGATGGCATGCAAACCAGAAACAGCAGTAAAATTATTAAGTTCTAGCCTTATTCAGACCTGAAGAATCTTGTTGGGCACAAAACATTAACTCTCACCACAGAAGCTGCCAGACCCAAGTTTCTCCAGCACTTTGTTTTTACATCTGATTTGGAGCAATTTAATCGCTGTTCATTTACTGTTGCTGGGTCAAACTACTGAAATCCCTCCCTACCAGCATTGAGGGTATATCTTCAGCCCTTGGACTACAACAGTTCCAGATGGTGACTCATTAAAAACTCTCAAAGGCAATTAGGGATGAGCAATAAATGTTAATTTACTTGCTCATATGCCAAGAAGGAAACAATTAAAAGATACATTGACCAAGGAGGACAGGACCATACAAAAGATGTTGAAGGCAATGCAGAATTTGGACATGGTTCCAAGAGGTTACTGTGTCAGGGAGAAGCCAAGATATACAGGGACTTGAAAACAAAATGAGGGCTTTAAAATTAACTAAGTGTAATGATCATAAAATCGAAGATCTATGGGGCAGGGCTCTTAAAAGTACAAGTTAACCAGATCAGGTAAAGTGCAAAATTGCTTTCTACTACATTAACAGTCAGTCAGGGATGGCAATAAACAGGCTGAATGAAGGAGGCATTTGGTACTCTTGCCTTTATTGGTCAGTGCATTGAATATAGGATTTTGGGGAGGCCACTTGTAGAAGATTGTGTTCAATTTTGGTCTCTCTACAATACAAAAGATTTATTAAACTTGAAAGGCTTCAGAAAAGATTTACAGGGATGTTACCAGGATTGGAGGGTTTGAGTTAAAGGGAGAGGCTGAATAGGCTAGAACTTATCTCCCTGGGACATCAGAAGCTGAGGGGCAATCCCGTAGAGGTTTATAAAGTCATGAGGGGCATGGATAGGATGAATAGCCAAGGTCTTTTTCCCAGGATAGGAGAGTCCAAAACGAGAAGGGCACATTTAAGGTCAGAGGTGAAAGATTTAAAAGTGAACGGAGGGGCAACTTCTTCAGGCAGAGGGTGGTGCAGGTATGGAATTAACTGCCAAAATAAGTGGTGGAGGCGGGTACAATTGCATTTAAGAGGCATCTGGATAGGTATATGAATAGGAAGTGGGTCAAATGCTAGCAAACGGGACTAGATAAGTTTAGTGGTTGGCGCGCACGAAGTGGACAGAAGCATCTATGACTCTGAATTCCCCTTTCCAATCATCATCCGATAACAGACACCACAGTTAGGGGGTTTCAGAACAGACTAAATAACGCAATCACGATTTCAGTCGCTGCTGAGATGAACCAATTTTTTTTCCCCCAAACTGAAATCTGAAAATTACTGAAACGAGGTGCCGGAGCATTGCAGTGAAACTGTACGCCGGAGAGAGAGAGAGAGAGAGAAAAAACTCCCTCGAAGAGAACCGGACGAGCAACAAAAACATCCAACATTAAAAAAAAAGTGATAAAAACAGATGTTTCAAGAGACAGAAAAATTAAGAGTTCCAGCAGATTGGGGGGTGGGGGGAAAAAAGAGAAGAAAGGAGTCAAAGGAAGAAGTGAAAAAGGACAATGGCGAGAAACAAAAACAGGAAGATCTTTAATTTCAGGTGGTTAACGTTCTAAAACAAACAAAACTGGCAAATGGGGAGAGATTTAATAGCAATCGGAGTGAGAAGCGAATTAACAAGAAACCCCACTGAACCCTCTCCCGTCCGGGTTTAACACCCGAGTGGTTAAGGCAAAGTAAACACTTACTTGATCAACACAAGCAAGAATGAAGCTGATTTTCCGTTATATACTTTTTCCGCTCCGTTCCGCTACTTAGCAGCCAGCAGTGGGTGGGACGATCGTACTGTCTCTGCGAGAGAGGCGGAACAAAACTAGGTTAAATGCAGCTCGTTTCACAACATGCAACTGCCCTCTGTGTGGATGCTGCTAAGCACAAAAAAAAAGTCTTAGCTGTGCCTCATGCTGTAATTTACGTCTCTTTGAAATGACTGACATGTGGTGAGCGACTAGGAAACAACGCCCACCTGCTTCTCATAAACATACCCAATTTTTGTTTTAGGGAAAGAAACGCAGTGGGAGATCACTAGTGGAAAGTTTTTTAAAAGAGTTTAACTTGTTAAAAGGGTTAGTTTTGTTGTCTTTATGTTCAATGGACCGCACATCCGTTGGACCTGCTAGTTTTTTCTTCCGAGCAAATAAAATGACTGCCTCGCTGTTTTTGAATGTTGTGCAATGCATCAAGTAAACGATTACAGATAAAATCCTCCCACCCCTCGACCACAACAGCAAGATAAAGAGCGGTACGAGCGGGCTTTTATCTTTTTTGCATCACCTTCCGCCGTCCCCCATGGGATGTTGATATCACTAGCAAGGCTGACATTTGTTGCCCAACTCTAAATGCCCTTGAACTGATCGGCTGCCTCGGCCATTTCAAAGAGTAGTGACCATTGCTGTGAGCCTGGAGTCACATAGAAGTCAGATCACGTAAAAACTGCAAAATCCCTTCCATAAATTAGAAACCATTAAAATCCCAGATTGGCTGTTACAACAAATACGGACACCGTTTTGGATAGTTTTTAATTCTAGATTTTTATTGATTTCAAATTTCACCATTTGCTATAGTGGGATTCAAAACTTGTCCCTAGAACACTAGCTCGGGGCTCTGGAATATCAATTTATCAATAGGCCACTGCCTCCTCAAGTGACGCAAACATGCCCATCTTGTGACTTACTGAATGATTTTGTTTTCACTGTGCATGCAGCCTGCTTATTAACTTCTCTAAACCTGTATTCTACTGTTTTGCTTATGTTGTTTAACATTATATTAGCGTTGTTGATTGTTACTTTTTATTAGTTGAACATTGCCTGAACTCTTGGGTGTTTTTCAGCTTCATTATCAGTAGTTTCTAACACCCTTTACAAACTATGTATGTTGTCATTTTTTGGTTCTTCCTGCATGTACTTGTCTGTATTGAGTTTCATCTACCTTTTGTCTAATTCTTTCTAATTTCTGAGCTCTGTCCTTTGCTTTGACTGTCTCTCCTAGCTTAGTATCATTTTCCAATTTGACCACTTTGTATTATGTTTCTGAATCCAGGACATTCATATAAATTAGAAACTGTAGTGGTGCCAGCTGGTACTAGTAAAGTGATCATAAAGCATTATGAATGCTGTAAAAAGTCAACTGTTTTATATTAATGTCCTCAATTTTCTTATTTAATTTGGTCTGTTTCTTTCAGGCCACACCATTATGATTGACTATTAATTGCCTTTTAAGTAGTCTTGCAAGCCACTCTGCTACATTAGACTACTAGAAAAAAAGAACTCTTAACTGCAAACACAACATCACATCAGTGCACTAAAAGGGTGCAATTATCTCTCACAGTCTTGCAAAGTTCTCTTCAGTATAATGTGGACTTGTACAGAATTTCAGCAGGCTATTCTGTAGGTCAAACAATAACAACCAGGCACAGTCATAATCTGAAAATCATACCTATCAGCCAATGTTCAAGATATCCTCATCACTATTCTTCAGTGAATTCTGTTCCACCAGCAAGCATGCACCACAAACCACACAATGGGGTCAGGGAAATGGAAAGGTGGGGGAGTAGCCTTGGGAGCCCTTAGATTTTGGACCCTATAAGGTCTCATAACGTCAGTTGAAAATAACTTTGTTGACTATTACTTACTGCAGTGCCTTGGCTAATTAATCGGTACACTTTCTTTTGAATAATGTTCGGAGGAGACACAGACATAGCAACGATACTGGATATACTGGAATTAAGAGTGTAATGATAACCATGAAACCACTGTGAAATGTTGCAACAAAAAAGCATCTGGTTCGCTTATGTCCTTTAGGGAAAGAATCTCCTGTCTTTACCTGGTCAGGCATAAATGGAACTCCAGACCCAAAGCAAAGTGATTGACTCTTAACTGCCCTCTGGACAGTTACAAATGATCAATAAATGCTAGCCGAGCCATTAATGTCCACATCCCATGAATGAATAAAAATAAAGCTCTGGGTGACCATCACTGACTGAGTCCTGAAAGACATATCTGCCAACTGGGGTTGCTGCAGATGAAGAGAGAATTAACTTAAGGGAATAACCCACTTTACCTCTTGTTCATCACCGATTTGTGTGGATGCACCTGTCCTCAGTCATTGTCAACAGTGCTATCAAGCAGCACTATCTCAGCATTGACCTGTCCAACTTGAGCTGTACCAGACCACTTGCTGCAGAACTCAATACATAACAGCTGAATTCTAGTAGGAAGTAAGTCACCATCTTTGACATCAAAATACTTTGGCCATAAAAATGGACTTGGAATTGCCTGTTTTTGGGCACTACAGGTACTGTTCAGGGACCAAAATAGAGTCTACTGCACAGACATTCACATCTGTTGTGGATCGCACCAGAGAATATATTAATCAAGAAATTAACACACACACAGAGCTAACATGCTCAAAGTATGTTGAGGGTGGTGGTTGAGGTACTAATTATGGAACTTCTTTGTTCTGGATGGTGATGAGCTTCTTGAGCTTGATTGGATCTGCAATCATTTGGCAATTATACTCTTGACTTTTGCCTTGGAGATGGTAGACAGGCTTTGGAGAATTAGGAGGTGAATTATTTATTGCAGATTTTTAAAAAATTCATCCATGTGAGTGTTGCTATCCAGGCTAAAACTTATTGCCCGCCCTACCCCCACAGAGCTGTAATGGAGGGAGTTGCAGGATTTTGACTCAGCCATGGAATGGTAATGTGGTTACAAACCTTTACCTATTGAACGATGAGTGACTTGAAGAAAAACTTGTTCCAATGTATCAACAGACACAGGAGCAGGAGTAGGTCACCTGGCTATTCGAGCCTGCTCTGCCAATAACTAAGATCATGGCTGATCCAATTACTTCATATTTCCATTAACCTTTCATCCCTTTGGTTGTCAAGAATCAAACTGCCTTAAAAAGATTTAAAGACTCTACTTCCACCATCATTTGAGCAAGAAAATTCCAAAAGCTCAGACTATCTGTAATAGTCTGATTGGTGATACTTGGCCAGTTTGGATTTATTCTGGTTTTAGTGCATAGGGCATACTTGGGAAATTATCCATATTGCTGAGTAGGTGTCAGCTTTGTAACTGTACTGGAACAACTTTATTTGGTATGTGGCTAGTTTAGATGCACATGTCTTCAGCACTATTGCTGAAATATTGTGAGGGCCTGTAGCCTCTGCAGTATCCAGTGCCATCGGCCATTTCTTTCTATCACATGAAGTGAATCAAATTGACTGAAGACTGAGCACTGCGAAGCTGGAGGTCTCAGGAGGAAGCTGAGATTGATCATCCACTCAGCACTTCTGTTTGAAGATGTTTGCAAATGCTTCTGCATTGATGTGTTGGGCTCTCCTAGCATTGATGATGGGAACGTATGTGGAGACTCTCCTTTGGTAAGTTTTTAATTGTTCACCACCATTTAAAACTGGAATTGGCAGGATTTAGAGTGTAGATCTGATCTATTGATTATAAGCTTGCTTTACTCTATGTTTATCACTTGCAGCTAATTCTGTCTTGGCATGCACACGGTTCTGTGTCATAGCTTTACTTCAGTTTTAAGGAATGCTTGGTGGTGTTCTCGGCATGCTGTTCTACACACTTCACTGAACCAGAGTTGATCCCCTGATGGTAGTGGTAGAGTGGGAATATGCGGGGGCATAAAGTTACAGGTTATGGTTGAATAAAGTTCTGTTGCTGCTGAAATCTCACAATGTCTCGTGGATGGTCAGTCTTGTGATACTTGATCTATTCAAACTTAATACTGTTCACCATGGTGGTAGTACTTCATAACACAATCTCAAGGTGACGGCTGGACTGCATCATCACAAGGATTGTGCAATGGTCGCTCCTATCAATACTGTACTGTACAGATGTATCTGTTACAAGTATATTGGTGAGAACAAGATCAAGTATGTTTTTCCCTCTATTGATTCCCTCACCTCCTGTCCCAAGCCCAGTCTAGTAGTCATATCCTTTCATCATTGATTAGCTCATTTAGTAGTCGTACTTCCGAGCCACTCTTGATCGTGGACATTGAACTATCCAAACTACATACTGTGGTTTTCTTTCCCAGTGCTCCTTCCAAGTGGTCTTCAACATGAAGAACTCATTCATCAGCTGAGTAGGAAAGGGGTCAGTGTTAATCAGCAGGAGGCTTCCTTGCCAATTTTAGACCTGAGACTTCATGGGGTCTGAAGTCAATATTGAGGATTCCCAGTAAAGTTTCTCCCAACTGTATATCACCGTGTCAATCACCTCTAGTGGATCTATCTTCCTGTTAGGACAGGACATACTCAGGGATGGTGATGCTGGGACATTATTGACAAGGTATGATTCCACGAGAATGTTTCAGGCTGACTAGTCAATCTGTTAGACAGCTCTACCAATTTCAGCACAATGTCTCAATGTTAATAGGACTTTACAGAGTCAACAGGGCCATGTGTGCTATTGTCATCTCTCGTGCCTTGAACAACACCAGGTAGTCCGTCTAGTTGCATCCCTTTCATCAATCTTTGTAGCAGTTAGATACAATGTATCTTACTAAGCCATTTCAGAGACGACCACATTGCTGTGAATCTGGAGTCACATGTAGGCCAGACCAGATAAGGAAAGCAAATTTTCTTTCTCTAAAGAATGTTCGTGAACCAAAAGTAATATTAAATAAAAGCAGAAAATGCTGGAGAAACTCAGTAGGTCTGCCAGCATCTGTGGAGAAAGAAACAGAGTTAACATTTTGAGTCCAACATGATTCTTTTTCAGAATTTCCAATGAGTCATTTAATTGTCCACTAACATTCATGATTAACGTGGCAGGACTACAGAGCTTAGATCTGTTTTGCTGGTTGTGGAATTGCTTAGCCCTGTCTAATCCTGTGTTGTCACTTCACCAGGCTGACGCTTCATTTTTAAGTATGCCTGGTGTTGTTCTTGGCATGACTTCCTGCAGTCGATATTGAACATGAAATACACAGGGTGTGCTTTCCTTCACACGTCCAGTAAGAGTCAGGGACCATCAAATCTCGGTCATATTTAAAAATGTTATTGATCAGATATTTACCTATCTTCTTCAAGCCCGCACATTATTATAACCTTCACTACCAAACTAGGTCAGTTTATGAAAATAATACTTCACTACAACACAGCCCTGATATTAACTGTGCAGAAATGTTATTTGTGTAGTTTTGAAAGAAAAATTAAAGAAATGTTAATGCTTCAAATCACATGATTATTATGCAGACGCAGTTCTGATTTATAATCTTTTCGTCGCTATGAGAATACTTGACTGAGACAGACATTATACATGTGTTCTATACATTAAATAGACATTATTTGGAACATGAAGCTTATCTAATGTTCATTGCATAAACTTATTTATTTCATTCATTTCTAGCCTTTTTTCACAT